AACCCCCAACCCACCAATGGCATTTAAATCAAACAGGGACTCGACTTAGGTCCCCAAATGCAGCAGTTGTCCCCAAATGTAGGCATTTTGTCTTAAAATTGCCCCCAAATGTCACCCCCCCACCACCACCACCACACACACACTGTTAACTGTGACTGTCTTTGGCAAAATCAGGCCAAAACAGAGGTTTCTGTTGACACAGAAGCTGAAACTTTTCTGCTCCTCAGAAAATGTCAGCCTAAAAAGAAAAGAACCTCACCGAACAGAAATCAAGTGACTGCATGCCAGCACACCATTACAAAGGCTCTATTCATTCACAGAGTCAAACAAGGGATTTAGTTCCAGATACTGGCTGACACCTGTCTGTGTTTGTGCCTGCAGCTTGGCTATCAGATATTGAAGCCAGTCAGGCGGCGACTCGTGGGTCAGTCTGATTAAATTTAGTGTAAAACAGCCGCTGATCTCCTGGCAAACCTTTTTCTACTCGTACACACAAACATGCTCACAAAAAAAAAGAAGCAATACAAAAAAAAATGTGTTCGGTGGTAAATTCAAACACCAATGCTTGATTGCGTACACATGAATATGCAGATTAAGYCAACCAGAACAAATCACTTTAAATCACTAACCAAATGCTTCCCCTGAGTCTTCATCGTATGATTTGCAGGACCTTCTMTGTAGACCTGCCACAATAAGAAATTTTTCTGTACAATAAATTGTCTACAATATCGTTTGGAGACTGTTTTAAATTAATATAATGATACCCCACCTTGTCCCCTTTTATAAAGCATGATGATGATGATTAGACCTTTATTGTTAYTGTACAGAGCACAAAGAAATTACAGTYCAGAACAGTCATTCAGAAGAAGACCGAACATAACAAACATAGGAGAACAGGTGCTCTGGGTCATGCTGCCACTGACCCTGCACAGAGCAAAGGATCATCATCATGAAGGCATCATGAGGAGGCGCAACCCTTAAAAGAAAAACTAAAAACCACACAAGGGAAGATGAGGGGAAAAAACGTTATATTATATSAACAATGTGACACACAATGGTGTTTWAAAAAARCTTATGGAAGTTTACGAAATTACAAAAAGTTATGAACTGACCTGGACCGAAGTTTGGGGAAAAAAAACACATTTGCTACTGAAGCTGTAAAATCGCTTTGTATGTGTCTTCCTCTTGCTTCGTATAATAACGGCGGCCACCCTCACATTGCGTAAAAAAATTCATGTAAGTGTACGTAAAGTTACGGATGGACCGTGAGCAGAGTTTTGTGAAAACAACAACAGCTACTRAAGCTGTAACATCGCTAYCCACCTCTATCCAGGCTGGCACAGTTTATTATTTAAGTCTTCCTCTGGCTTCCTAAAATAATTGCGGTTACCCGAACGCTTCTTATAAAGTTTAGGGAAGTTTATGAAAAAAAAAAAACCTCTTGGCGAAACCAGAGGTTTCGAACGGTGCCCTGTGACCGTCCATAGGCGGCATCAGCTGAAAGAAGGTGTTTGAAATCCACAGACTTTCCTCTAGCTRAACGCCTGTTCACGGGGCTATAATGCTACAGCAGTTATGAGACCACAAACCTGGAAAATACTTGATACAAGAGTTCACTCCTCCCTACGCTAAAGACTAGAAAAGAGGGCGACATGAATAAAGCAAACCAAAAATTAACAACCTCGTTTTATTTTKAYCTCATTTTAATTTATCATGCGATTAATTGACTTCCACGCATACAGAGATATATTTTTAAAACCTCATAGAAACTGGAAAACTACAATACTTTCTCTGCAGTTTACACATCAGTTTGTGCTTTTCCTACAAGGATGGATGTTCTACAAAGCACTTTCCTCCACTTTCACATGTAGATCTACAATACATGCAAGCTTGGTTTTGCCTATAAAATCCCACCCAATTTGTTGCCTGAACTGAGCTCAGAATCCATCTCCAGGACTAATCACAGGCCGCTTTCAGTTCTGCTACACTCTTGAAATTCTTTGGCACATTCATTTCCCCCAAACATCTCCTCTCCTCTGCCATCTCTTTTCATACTGCGTGTCTTTTTCTTCCAGGTGACAATGGCCCTCCTGATTAGAATTAAGCCTTTTTTTTGGCCCCCTGTAGCGAGGAGTTCAGATGACAAGATGTAATCAAATGGATTCATATACGCCGTATGAATAATGCGTCAACCTTGTGCGCCGTACCGTTTCACCCACCCTTTTATGTCGAGCACCGGTTGTGGACAATGCCTCCTCTCTGAATGTTTAGTTTAAAAAGTTTTAATAGGAATCCCAGAAATGTCTGAGCTGTAATTGAAAGSCACAATGCTGCTGTTTCAGAGAGTTTCAAAAGGTAGAAGGAGGTGGCAGCAGAGGCATCAGGTGGTGAATGCAGGCACCTTTCACCTGTCACTGACTCCTCCTGATAAGCCTTCCAGGCTGCTGTCAGTGAGGGGTGGGGGGGGGGGGTGCTCCTGAAATCTCCCCTTTCTTTATTCCGATATTTCACTGTTTTAATTTTCTTGGTTTATCCAGACATGCTTAGAGTCATTCATCTGCCCACTCGTGATTATTCATGCTGACTTCTGAGCTTGTGACAATGACAAACTCCCACCAGCGAAGGAAATGTTTTGCCAGTCGGCAGCCGTCGGGGTTTAAATTAGCGCTTTGAACTTTGGTCATGCAGGGAATGTGGATGTTTCCCCCGAAGAACTACTTCTCTTTTTCTTTCAGCTCATCGGAGCAAACGTAGCTGTGCAGAACGGAGGTACTTAGATATAAATTGTGGAACGTCAAGAATGAGATTAGCAATATTTTGTCCTTCCATGAAGCCGCGATGAGGAATGACAAAAACTGCACGTAAAATGTCAAAGGTAAAAAGCAATTATTCTTGAGAGGCTGATAAGTCACAGCGACAATCTGTTAGTCTGAGAGGGTCACGTTTGTCAAACTGCTTAAGCTGCTGCTCTTGTTCATAAAATCAATGTGTAAAGCATTTTTTTTTCACCTCTCATTGTGCCATATTGAGTACGCATATTTCATCATGCTCTGCCTGCTGCTGTATCCTCATCTGTTACTTTAGTTGACTCATTGTTTTCTATTTTGAGGCATAGTTGCATGACGGAAAGTTTCACCTGCATTGCACAAGACTCATCTCCATTCAGACGCACAGCAGGTCTAATAAATCAGGAGCACCACTTATTCTGATTGCAATGAGGGGTGTGCATTTTAAGCTAAAACCTCCTTTAAAAATGYCCTGTAATTATTGGACACGGCCAGTGTTACTGAGCATCAACTTGCAGCAATTCATACTTGTCACATCGTGCACTTATTGTGTGAAACTATGAGATCTTTTTTCCTTCTATACATTTTTTTGGTATGTAGCTCATTTTGCAATTTTTTGTGCTACACTGCCTGGCCAAAAGAGGTCACCACCAAAAAAAAAAAGCTCACACTCTAATATTTTATTGGACTGCCTTATCTTTGATTGCGGCATGCATTTACTGTGACATTGTTCCGATAAGCGTCCTAGACCTGACTAGGGCTGGGTATTGGTTCAAATTTCCCAAATCAATTCGATTTGATTCACAGGGGCCCGATTCGATTCACAACGATTCAGGGCGATTCACGTTTCAGTTTAATTGATTTTTAAATTAGTTAAGGATATCATGCCGTAACACATTTACTTTGATATAGAAGACATTCTCAAAGGAACTAATTCTACAAACAGTAGAAACTAATTCTAACTTGGTGCATTGGTAAAATTAGAAACATAAAGGGCAAACTTGTAAATTGGAGTTTAATCTTGAAACAAAACTGTCTCAAGTTTCAAAGGGTTTAAACTAAAAACAAATTGACAGAGAAAGTGTTGGATTATAAATTAGTTTTTAAGAAATTAAGAATTAAGAATAATTTTCTTGATCACTAAGAAGTGATGGAATAAGGTTGCAGGAGGGCTAAAATAAGTGTTTACTTCTGCTCACTCTTTTGAGTGTATGAAAATTGTATATTTGTAACGTTTTTGTTAGCTTCTGTTCAATAAAACTTAACAAGAAAAAAGAAAGAAAAGAAGTACTTCAGCTAAAAYATTCCATCACTGTGAATTACATTAAGATGTTTCAAAATTTTAAAAATAACATTGGTAACAAAACTAAACAGTTTTGTTAGACTGAGAACAG